AAGATTTGATTAATGTAAGCATACACATTGTGCCAGCATGCATGAGTGATAAATATATATGTTATGTTTCATCAACAAAATATTTCCTTAACAGCTCATATACTAATGATGCTAACAATTTTTTAAAGCCATATTAGTAACATAATTTATATCGATTATTACTTTATCTATATTTATATATTTTAACTAAATGTTTGACACTTCTATGTTGGTAGTATAACCATAATTACACGTATAATTCCTTGGTAGAATCTTAAGAATTGTGGGAGACTATTGATGGCTATATTTTTTCGGCCCTTTAACATTAGTCTAGAGTAATTTGATCATTATAAGGCTTAATAAGATTTAAAATTCTCTACTGCTACCCCCAACATAGATCTCATTTCAAGCTCTATCACTTATCTTAGGTGACATGGTGCAAGTTTCAAATGATTGCATATGCTATTGTAGTATTTAGGAATGTACTATACGATCGAAAATCCTTATTTTAAAATAGTCTAAAATGAGAGTTAGTAAAAGATACAATAAGCACAAGAGTTTTAACTTGAGGAAAAATCTATAGCAGTCAATAAAAATAAAGTTAAAAAATTAAAATTTAGATTCATGACTTAATATATGTGATGCAACAAGGGTCACCATAGTTAATGGCAAGGTTTCAAACTATTTGCATATTAAAATATACAAGGTGCCATACAAAGTAAAAAATACGAACATGAATGAAAAATATACAAGTCAGTCCCTTGGAAAAAAAGTATTTATAAGTTTATGATCATTAGATATAGTCTACAAAGTATCTTTTACGTCTATTTTGTAGAAAATAAACAAAGAATAAACATACAATTTAATATAAGCAATATTTTATTAAGTACATCTTTTAAAATTCTAGCACGTGCAAGAGCACGAGTTAATGGACTATTTAATTTAATTAGAACTGTGGGTTCAGGCCATGGAATTGTATCGTACTCATATTTGCCCCAAGGCCCACCTGTTAATGATGGTAATCATGCATGGTGTAATGTCCGCCTCAAGCAAGGAACATGTTCAAATTCCCAAGCCCCACCAGAGAGATCCATAACAAATCACCAGTCAAACTAATATATATAGTATCTAATAGAGCAGGCATATCTACTGTCAACTACTATACCTAAATAGGTACAGGATTTTCCTGGCTTCTGATGCTGCCACGCGTCATCATGATGCATCCAAAGGTCAATTGTTAGTGGCGGCAACTATACAATCACATCAGTTAATTTCTTCTGACGTTTCTCCTCCTCGCATGCACACGTACTAGCACAGGCAAACGACGGAAACTTAACAACTCCCTGTATCAATTTTCTATTGCGCTTCTCCTCCAGCGATCTTGCCTCCTGCGCTCCTCCATTGGCAGTGGCACACATCCTGATTTGAAGCGCCTTCTCCCCGCTTATGGCTGAGGGACGGATCAGGAGGCGCCGCGCTCCGGGGTCATGTACAAGTCCATGAGATCCACGACGTCAAAGAGGTCGGCAACAATATCGGAGATGGAGCCGTCGGTGGTGCCGAAGGCGCGGGGATTGACTCCCTCTAATACTCTTCGGGTAAGGGTATTTTTTGTTTCTATAAATCGATGCCAGCTAATGACCAGTTGCAGCTTTTAACATATAGCAAGCAGATTGGAACTTTACTAAGCGAGGGGCCCACCTTAATGTTGACGTTAGGTTAGTCACAACCACTCTGACGATGAAGACTGCTACTCAGGTCGAGTAGTACCACCGCCGTCCATGTCATGTCAGTCAAGCGATAACATACTAGTATCTTGCTATGGTTTCTACATTTACACAGAGTTGTTCATTTTCAGGTATATGCAAATTCATAGGCACTTTATTCCTTTTTTTAGATTATTAATATGCACCTTATTCCTATATAGGTGCCCTCTTTGCTTGATTAATATCTCACTAATGAAATTATCATGTGACTATCTTTATTTTTATTTCAGAAAAATATACCTCTGATGAATGTAAAAAATAATCATGTATGGAGGTCTATTTGCACTACAGGAAAACGCCTCTTTGCCGACTGCTTGCCCCGGTCGGCAAAGGCATAAACCCAGTCGGCAAAGGCTTTGCTTGAACCGCAGCTCACGTGGCAGTCGGCAAAGAGCAGTCGGCAAAGCCTGGGTCGGCAAAGGCGGATTTGCCGATCGCCACGCGGCACACACTGATCGGCAAAGCCTTTGCCAACCGCCACGCCAAAGATCGGATCGGCATAGCCACGCGCGCCGCCAAATACCGACGGCGAGGCTTTTGCCGATCTGCTGGTTCCTCGGCGATCGGCAAAGAATTTTTTTTTTCAAAATTGTTGAAACTTGCTCGGCGATCGGCGATCGGCAAAGTTATCACATGTGGAGATGTCCAGGTTTTAGCCACCCGACGCCGCCACTTGCTCAAAACTTTCTCAAATTTTTACCTGACCTCGCATGCGATGACAAGACACGTCGTCAAGTTTCGTCATTTTCGGACTCGTTTCGATTTTATAAAATTTAAAAACACTTTTCACGCAGCGTGGCTCGGCGTGTTCCGACACCAACACGGTCGAAATTTCACGCGAGGCCCGCTGACACGGCCTCAACATGCTCCAAACATCATGAATATCATTTTTCAATCACGGATTCCATTATTTCATGTACCTGCAGTTCAAATCTGGAGTCAGGAAAAAATCAAAAAGCAGAAAAAATCTACGGAATATAGCAAAATAAATCAAAATGATCTCAAACTTGGAATATATCATGTACTTACTGTATCAAGGCAACACAAAAAACTGGGATCGAAAATCAAAAAAAATAAAAATTCTTTGCCGATCGTCCGGGAGGATGGCGATTGGCAAAGCCTGCGCCGCTTTTGCCGATCTGCCGACGGAGTGGCGATCGGCAAAGGTGACGTGTGGATGGCGTCAACCATGGCCTGCCTTTGCCGATTGCAATTTTTTGCCAACTGCCTGGCAGTCGGCAAAGCCGAGCAATCGGCAAATCGCTTTGCCGATCGCAGGAAATTCCAGTTGGCAAAGGGACCTCTTTGCCGAGTGTCGAAAAAAAAACAGTTGGCAAATAAAATTGCAGTCGGCAAAGAGCCAGTTTCCTGTAGTGTTGGATTACTGTGTACTCAAAATTGTCTATACTAAATAAGAGATTTGTGATGTTTGGAACTCTACAAGATCTGTGCACTCAAAGAAAACAAAATGTGATGTACAATTTCTACGAATGATTCAGACATGTCTGCTCCTCAAACTTCTTGGTATTAGCTGCCGTGTCATCATTCATGGCTATCTCTAGCACTACCAGCAGGCAACTGACTTCTTGGCATTAGTTGCCGTGTCATTCATGATAGCCTTTCTTTTTATGGTGCTTCTCCTTTTTCTGATTCCTCAAAGCTTTATCCTATGTCATTGTTTCTCTTTGATTACTCTCACTAAATTCAAACTATTTAATATGTGCATATTTTCTGAGGGTTTCACTATTTCTTGCTCCATGAATCCTCTCATACAATGTTACAAAATTCCGAGCAGCCACACGTGGGGTATTATAATCAAAACATAAAGCCGAACGGTGTAGTGAAAGAAAGCATAGCTTCCATATGTCGCGCAGCATTACGTTTAACTAGTCTTTTGGAGTACATGCTTGCCATATTTATGGGAAAGGGGCCGATCTATATCGTCCCATGTTTTCCTTTTTTTCCTTTATTGTTTTTATTTACTTATTAAGCAAAAAAAGAGTATACACTTTATTCTTCTTTGCTTTTTCTGAATAAAAAAAATCCAGCAGCTCCTACGTTTCTTTCTTTGTCTCATGCAAATTAATGCGAATAGCCCACACGCACTAGCTTACTAAAATAACCCAAGTCCTACTTTACTAAATCGATCAGTGCCACACACTAGCCCACACTAGCTTAGTAAAATTATTCTACAATTTTGAAAGCTAGCTATAGATTGCTAAGGCTGACGATTGCTCCTATGCTTATATATATATGGCCCCCTGTTCTCCACAAGGCTTGCACGCGGATGCATTACAACACAGCCACAGTTTGGAGCAGATGAGAACAAAAGGTGTAAACATTATTTTGGAACACTTGAAAGTGGAGACCGATGATATGCGGTGATCTTTACCATGTGATACTCCAAAGATCCCATAGAAAAACTGGTTTCCGGTGATGCTAGCACCCAGGTAGAAGATCCAGATGCCCTTAACAAGTAGCTCAAGAGAGGGTCCTATCCTTGGACTTTCTCTGGTATCAGTGGCGACAACTGAGGTAGTATTGATGGAGGCAATTTGAACAAGGAATGCCCATGTTATGACAGTGCATGGATGGATCTGGTGAGTTGACATAATCACACAAAGCATAGTGTGTTGGCTCCAAGGAATATGAAATGGAACAAGGAATCGCACAAAGCAGACAAGGTTAAGCTCGTGCATTTGTCATCTGGTGAGTTGACATAATCATTGGAGCTGTCGCTAAGGCTGGAGACGACATAGGAGATGATGGGCAAGAATAGTGTGTTGGCTCCAAGGAATACGAAATGGGTAAAGGGGTGGTGGCGATAGCGCTGGCCGTAGCCGCCTATCCCAACTAAGACTCCTATGATGCCAGGGCTTGCAAATAGCAGTGCATTCCCCAGCCATATCTGCCTTCTCATGGTATTGCTGAAGGTTTTAATGGCGTCACTTGAGCATTGGATCTGTTCGTGCAATGTAGCCGCGGTACAATTCACTGTGTCCATAGGCCTGCTGATTGCCAAATTTCAATAGCGTTAATTAGAAGAAGTAATCATGTCCTGAACTTCTAATAATTTGCTAAGTAACAGAAGTTCGTGCTACTCTTTTTAAAAATTTCATCCACGACCCAACATGCTCACCAATCAAGGAATATTAGTTCCATGCATGAAAAACTAGTATATGAAAAATATCATCCACACCCCTATTAATTAGTTCATTTGCACTAGGACGTAATCCTGGTCTTGTCTTTGGGTACATGCAGCAGCTACAACAACAAGAAAGAAGTCAACATGGTGAACCGCTGGTAGGTGAGGTTGCCCCTCCTCTCCTGGTTATGGGAGAAGATAGGAGACAAGTGGTGAATCATCCTCACAGGTACGTGTTCACCAATGGCTCAGGGGACAATAATGGTTTGGTTACCCTTGATAAAATTTGGCAGTCCGACAATGTGCTTCTGACGATACCGAAACTAAAAGATTTGTGCTTGTCCTATGCGCTATTCAAGTTGATGAGGTGCCGGTTCGCAAGGTACAAGATTTCTGATGTTGACTCTGTGAGGATGCTGGCATTTTCCCGTAGCTTGCTGCTAATGGAGGGTGGACATGATAGGGTATTCAGGGTGATTGCAGATGAGCTTTGTTTTGTTCATGATTACTATTATCCATCCTCCTCAATATCCTATGCAAGTATTGGCTACCCATTTTGAATACCTTTATCTCCCTCTTGAGCATAGTTTATTGCATTGTGGCTGCAATCTTTTTGGCGCTTGCAGTGAAAGCTCAGCATCAGAGAGGCCAACTCACACAGATCGAATGTCATTTCTGGTGCACTCAACTACTGGCGGCAAGCAAAAGAAGGCATAAAAACTTTGGAAGCTTGTACGTTGATTTGGTGGTGGTATTTTTGCTTCTTGCTTTGGTCCTTTCTACTGAGGTGAGAGATATTGCTTCATACATTAGCTCCAACTGGACAAAAGTAGTCCTCATATACCATCATGTAAATTGTGCCTCTTCTCAACATCCACATGGAATTCGAAATTGGGTTGTTAGCCGTTTGCTAAAGTGCACACTACCGGACTCCCTGAGTTTGCCGAGTGCCCAAAACACTCGGCAAAAGACATAAAACACTCGGCAAATGGTTCGCCGAGTGTAACACTCGGCGAACAGCACTCACCAAAAAAAGTGACGGCAAAGCCAACTTTGTCGAGTGTTTTTTATCGGGCACTCGGCAAAGCCTTGACACTCGGCAAAGTTGGAACCGATAAAAACCCGAAAAAATAGGAATTTTTACCAAAAAAAATAGAATTTTTTTTATTGGAGGAGGCCCCCACTGGCCAGCGCCCGCACCTATCTCCACAATTTTTCGCGTCAAATCACGGCAACGCGGCCGAAGGGAATCGAACCCGTGACCTCCCCCTGTCGGCAAACCTCCTCTACCACTACACCACGCTTTCATTTGTGTTTGGATTTCGTTTTAGTTCCTAATATATTATACTAAACCGAATGTAAATTGCTTGTTTGAGGCCCTAAACGAATTCAAATAAAAAAGTTGTAAACTACAAAGTTTCATAACTTTTTGAGATCTACACTTTTAGTTTAGGAAGTTTTTCCATCCGAGGTCGTTTACAAAATTTGAATTTTAAAATTTTGAAATTCAAATGCAGTTTTGCATGACAAGATGATTTCAAATCAAAAAGTTACAAACTACAATGTTTCATAACTTTTCGAGATCTACAAAGTTTATTTTGGTTGTTTTTCCATCCGAGGTCGTTTGAAAAGTTTGAATTTTAAAATTTTGAAATTCAAACACAGTTTTGCGTGACTAGATGATTTCAAATCAAAAAGTTGCCAACTACAATGTTTCATAACTTTTCGAGATCTACAAAGTTTATTTTGGTTGTTTTTCCATCCGAGGTCGTTTGAAAAGTTCGAATTTTAAAATTTTGAAATTTAAACACAGTTTTGCATGACAAGATGATTTCAAATAAAAAAGTTGCCAATTATAAAGTTTCATAACTTTTCGAGATCTACAAAGTTTATTTTGGTTGTTTGGTCATCTGTTCATCCGACATGGTCGTTCTAACATTGTTCATAAATCTTATATATCTCTTTTGTAGTTTCATAAACTACCAGAGAGATATGTTAGATTTGTGAACAAATTTACTTTCACTTTTTCATATGAAGAAAAGACCAAAACAAACATTGTATATCTTGATGAGTTATACAATTTTGTAGTTGAAAACTTTTTCATTTGAATTAATTTACTGCTTCAAAATGTGCTTTAAAATTTTCTTTGCCGAGTGTAAAAAAAACACTCGACAAACAAGCTTTTTTGCCGAGTGTAAAAAAAACACTCGGCAAAGAGCTTCTTTGCCGAGTGTCAAAAGGAAACACTCGGCAAAGAGCTTGTTTGCCGAGTGTAAAAAAAAACACTCGGCAAAGAGCTTCTTTGCCGAGTGTCAAAAAAAACACTCGGCAAAGACGTCTTTGCCGAGTGCCCGAAAAACAACACTCGGCAAACCACTTAACACTCGGCAAAGAGCCGGTCTCCGGTAGTGGCGGAGGCATGACAGTGAACCATTGGGAAGAAACAATAGGCCAGTGCTCAGTACTGGCGCTTGATCACCCAAGACCAGGCCTGTTTGTCCGTCTCATCCATTTTCTCAGGTTGCCGGACCAAATGAAGACGGTCAGGGTGCCGGAAGAGGTGAAGGTTTGCATTTTAGATGGGCTCAGAAGCATCAATAACAGCGATGGGGTGCATCTAATCACAACAGAACAGCATCTCTACACCGGATCCACGTTGGTGACAGATTCATCAGGGCCTGCAATGGCAAGGGTACTGCTGATATCATACTTACGTGGCACATCGCCACATGCATCCTTGAGGTGAGGCATCCTTACCGGCATGATATGGTGGAAGATTCTTCATTGGTTGCTCATCAACACAAGATTGTTGCCACTCATCTATCACGGTACTGCGCGTACCTTATGACTTGGTTCCCGGAGATTCTTCCTGATGAGGTTGAATGGAGCAAGACCTTGTATGATGCTGTGCACCAAGATGCGACACGTGTCATCTCTGTCCGGGCTGCGACCAGCTTGCAGTTGGCACCTGAGGCTGAGTACCTGGAGCTAGTGCAGTTGCTAAGTGAAGGCTCCAGGCATGAGGTGTTGCAGAATGGAGTGAGGCTTGGAAAACAGTTGGTTGAGGAATTGAATGAAGCCGAGGAAACGGCATGGGCAATGTTGGCAGACTTCTGGGTAGAGATGATTCTGTATGGGGTCGCGCCTTCGAACAATCTGAGAGGGCACTCCAAGGCCATCGCCCGTGGTGGAGAGGTGATCACCCTCCTCTGGGCATTGCTCTTCCATGTTGGGATAGTGAGTAGGCCGGGAGAAACCGGCAGAGCAGCTATCGCTGCTAGTGTTTGATGGGGTTGCTACTTGCTTGTGTGCAAATTATGTTCTTCAAGCATGCTTCATGGTTGATATCTTGATTGATGCAGTGTCTGTCCTCGTGTTTTGATACTACTTATTAATAATCGTGGTGTTTGCATGCATCTATAAGTATATGGGACCATGCATGGAATCCATTAGAGATGTGTGCACACTATTTGAGGAAGTGAGCCTAACTCAACTGGTTGGGTGAGAGGTGTGGCAATGCATCCAACCATACAGGTTTAAGTCATCTCTTGGATTGAATTTGGGTGCATATTTCTCTTCTTAATGAAAAACCACCTATTTCCTGGATCTCGTTTCTTTTTTGCACACACTATTTGAATCCCGTTTTCTTATTTCTATACTACTTATTTCTTGGATTCCACTGCCAAGCTTGAACAGCTGGTCTTGTCTCTACTTGATTGAGCTGCCCCTGCAAGTCTGACTACGCACCAGCAGCATTGGAGGAAATTAAAAAAACTGAAAATTGATTAGCCAAATCAAAGAAAAATGGGAAAACTCTCACTAGCTAGCTAGAACGATGTTCGTTCTTACCAACAGCCGCAAGGGGCGCTTGAAGGGCACTAAGATCCAATGGCAAGGAACTGTGAGGAGATGAGATTCTACTATATCACAACCAATCTGTAGCACGCTAAAACATAATATTAACAATCAATAATTGGTTGGAATAAATTTCTAACATATCGTAGGTCGCTATTTTTTCTTGTACCGACTCTCTATCGTTCGGTATATATATTTCGTTGTTTCCTCGGATCATCAGTCGATAAAAATACATATTAGAGTCAAACAATCGGTCGGTGTAACCTGTTCTCATTTAAGTGCATCCAGCTCAGCCCATTCGCGTGCAAAGAAATTTACGTGGCCCACCGCTCAGAGTTTCACCCAAAACCCTTATCTAGAGCACTCATGCATCATCGGTCACTATAACGACTTATAGCGACTCTTTTTAGTTGCTATAGATTGGTTGTGGTATAGTGGTAATGATAAATGTATCTTGGCAAGGATCTGTTTGAATCATTTAGAACTAAAGTTCCCATGGAATGAATTTCAGTTGGACTAAAGCTTAATTAGGTGGCTAAAGTTTTGTCTAATGCTATTTGGATACATGGACTAAAAGCAAGTAGCTTTCCTGGACAAAAACTCAATTTTAGTCCATATTAGTTCACATAATTTGCCAACTAATGAACTAATTGCTAGTTGGGTTGAAAACCAAAAATTAGTTCCATTTTAGTCCACTATGTGGATACCTAGGACTAAAGTTTAGGTAACTAGGTTTAGTACAAATTATCTATACATGCCCTGAGTTGAATACTACTCATGGTTTCAAACCGTTTGTGATTAATAAAATACTCCCTTTATAAAAAAAAAGTGGAACTTGTTTATGTAGAGGTGCTGTATTCAAATCTTAGAGACTCTAGCTTAGGGATGGACATGTTTCACCGCAAAGAACCTAACAAAGCTGGACTCTGTTTTGATTAGATAGCCTTTCTAGCTTAGGCCCCCACATCGCTCTGTGTACGGGGTAACATGGGTGATGACCAAGACCTTCCAGCCTCCGCCGTGCCACCCCTTCTTCCCTTCCCAATGCAATGCCTCGATGTTATCAAACGGCTCATGGCCGCATGGCTCCCAAGGACACCAACGACAGGAATTCATGCCTCACCCGGATCTGTTCAGGGCCGGGGTAGGCGTGCGGCCTACACCATGATGGCTGGGCAGTGGTGTTCACTGTGTGAAGGTCTCCTAGGCGAGCGTACGATTAGAGGTGCCTGCACTTGTAGTCGTGTGGGACATGCACGAGTTCTTCCTCCGCTCAACCTTGCCAATGATGGCGGTGTGGTGCTCTTCTTCCTCTCTGCCCGCACCTCCCTCCTCTCCTCAAGCGGCGGCAACATGTGGTTGGCTTCCCTATCTGGGGAGCGACAAATCCGACTCCCTACAGCCTAGATTGTAGCTAGGTTCCCGGCTAGATCCATTCGTTTCAGAGGTGGCACGACAAGGCAGGTGCGAGGCACTACTAGGGTGGAGGGAGGTCGTCAGGCTAGACAGTGGTGACCACGTGTGCGCGCGAGTCCACACTTGATAGCCCATTGGGAGCATGGTGATGGGCAAGGTTTGGTGTGGTTGGGGGCCTCACTACTCCTTTGTCATGTCTGTCAAGTGCCTACATTCGGCTATTGTGCCCTATGGTGCTTGGGATTCTTGTAGCGGCGGAAGCACCGAAAGATGAGCTTTGTCCCTTGCAGCAATTGGTGCTTTCCAGGGTGGTTGCTGCGGCCATGTGCATAGCACGGTGCTCAAGGACTGGCTACTACTTTCTCTGTGGCGATGACCGATGCGGTAGGTGGTGCTAGGCAAAGCCTTTGGTCAACTTCTGCTAGACCCGACAATGGCAATGCCCACGGTGCCACTCCTTCATTGGAAGCGTCATCAAAGACATTTCCCTCTTGTTATGTGGCTCTTTGAGGAAACTTTGCCTAGGTTTGTTGGCATGCTATGGTGATACGAAGCATCGTTCCCTTCCTAGAGGTGTCGCCATGGTGGTGGTCGATTCAAGTGGGACATTTTAACGCTCGTCCGGAGGCATGTGTGTTTCGAGGAAGCCATGCCTTGTCGGATCGCTACTTGCTCTGCGTCGTGCTTCTGTCACCCTTGGTCTGAGCTTACAGGTGTGAAGTCAGAGTCATGGCGATCCTAGGCAATGATGATATGTTGGGTTCTCCATCTAGGTGTGAGTGTGAGGCTTTTGGGTTCAGTTTTCCATATAAACTAGGTCGTTTAATTTTTCTTAAGTGAAAAGCAGGAACTCCCTCACCCCTTCCAAGAGGATTCTTTGAAAAAAGCTGGACTCCCGTGATAGATTAGAACCAAAAAAAAAAAAATCACACACACACACTGACAATGGTTTGGGCTGGAACCAGTTTCCATGGTTTGGTTTCCTTGTTGGGCCAATTCGATTTGGGTGAAAATGGGCTGAGCAAGCTGGTGGGCTGTCTTGCTAACGCCCGAGACCTCGCGATCGCCGCAGCTGCCGGTAGCGGCGCATGGCCGGACGGAGAAGCTCGCGCTGCACTGCCCGGGGCTTCGCCAGCCTCAATACCTCCGGGGCGCTCAAGCTCGAGGACGCCGCGGCGCTGGCGCGCTCCCTGCCCAGGCTCCCCTCTCTCTCCTACCTGCTCGCCATCCTCTCCGCGATCAGGGACCTGCGGGAGTTCATCAGTTCAGCGTCCGGAGCTGCGTCGGCTTCGACGACAAGGACGAGGAGGTGCTCTGGCGAGGGGCCAGGATCCAGCGGTTCGACGTTGGAGGGTCCAAGTTGGTGGATGAGCTAGAGGACGAGTTCGCCGGCGGTGGCGGTTTCTGCGACTTGTCCTACGGTGACGTGATGTGATCTCTGTATGAACCGTTCCACGTGACACTTTGCAGTCAGTTTCGAATCCCGGTTTTAGGCTGTGGATTGGTCTTGTTTGGATTTAAGAACACTGCAGTTCGGTGTGGACTGGTTTTGGAGGAGGAACGAGTGGGGTGGGGTGGGGTGGATGGGGGATTTGAAGGCAGACGTGATTAGTTTGATTTGGTTATTGTCTGGATCACGGACCATTAGCCCTTGTTGTTGTGTTACATGGTCTCCCCGACACAGTAAACCACACACACACACAAAGGACGGCAGCCCTGCCGGAGCCACCGTCATGCCGCAACTCGCCGGTGCTCCAGATGCACTCTCTGGCATCGCCTGGCACGGTGCTGCACTGGGTCGCCAGACTCATGCATGGTGAGTACTTTGAGATGCCTGTTGTCGATCGAGAAAAGCAACAAAAGAGAGAGAGAGAGAGAGAAGCGCGAGACGGTGAAGCTTTTGGCTTGGACAGTCCACCAAAAGCCGATAGTTGGCTATTTGTTATTGCAATATTATCTACGGTTCATTTTTTTCAAAAAAAAAGATAATATCTACAGTTAATCAAACGACAAACTTATATGATAGTTGGCTATTAGTTTAAACTAAATCATTAACACTTGATCCACATTATTCTCTCACAATGTGTCCCTAGAGCTTGTGCATGAATTAGCTGTAAGCTTACAAGTATGATGAGACACCTTTCTATATAGGCCATTTACATCATTTTATTGTACTTACTCTAAGACACTGAAGGGATCAATGTTCTGAAATATTAGACGACATGTAATGGTCCATCATTGATCTAAGACACGGTCCAAGCTAGCAAAGCATAAAGTAGGCACGAAGCAAACCCTGTTCGCTTGATCGTATCAGCCATGCTTATCAGCTATGATATAGTGTTTTTCTCTCACAACAAAACAACATCAGCCTGCTTATAAGCCACAGAAATGATCAAGCGAACAGGGTGACGCGTGGAACAGTGTGTGCACGTCTTTGCCTTTGCTACTCCTAATTGACTAGTACTACTAGCTCCCTCCGTCATAAATTATAGATCGCTTTAGCTTTCTTCTAAGTTAATAACTAAGCTCCTAGATTTTATTAAGTTTATAGAAAAATTGTGAATATCTTACTATTACTAATTTAAAGCCCCAAAAAAGAGCCTGCATGTTAATTTTTATGAGACGCACTAGGAAAAAATAAATCCTGAAAATTCTTACGAACATAACGAACATGCATATATTTGATAGACTTTAATCAACCAATAATAGCCATTATATTTGTTGTTTTATAAAAATCTCCAAATCCACCATATAAATAGTGTAAATTAACAACATAAATGTTTGACCTAAATTACCACCACCACTGTAATTATGTAAAATAATCTGAAGCAACCCTCTAATCTTAATCTATATGGAAATAACTTAAAGTAATCAATAAATCTATAGGCAAAGTTTGCTATGGGACACGGAACAAATGTGAAATTTTCCGCTTCGCACTGCAAACATCAAATTTTGCTAGGTACTCTAATGAAATCGTGATCATTTGTTGTAGAACACCACTACAAATATTTTATTAA